GGAGCTGTCCCCGGCGCGGCCCCCTCCCCGCTCCCCAGCGCACAGGCTGACCCTCCTCCCGTGTCCCCCTCCCACGCTGCCCCTCTCCACAGGTGGAGGGTCGCCAGGGGACGCTGGGGGACAGGAGGTGCACCGCCCATGTCCCTTGGGCAGCTGGGGTGGGGTGTGTGTGTTTGAGCCGGACAGGTGCAGAACGGCCTGTCGGGAGGAGCCACGCCTGGAACAGCCTGGAAGCCGGGCTGGGGGGGGGGCAACAAAGCCCCTCCCCTGAGCTCCGGGCGTCAGTTCATTAAAAACAGGGCCAGGCGATTTCTGCTCTGACGGTCCAAGGGGGTCCGTGAAAGGAAGAACTCGGCTGCTGTGAGAAACAGAAACCCCAACTCCACCAAGCCAGCCCAAAGCCCGAGAGGACAGGGGCTTCTCCAGCTGTGAGCAGCTGTGGTGGGAAAGGCCAGCAGGTCCCCACTGGGGACGGGAGGAAGACTCAGGTGGGGCCGCCGTGCCGTGCCGTGCACAGGAGCGGAGCGCAGGACAAAGCCTTCAAGACCAACACGGGTTTCTGCAAGGCAATGAGCTTTCGGGTGCACAGCCACACTCCTCCAGATACAAGGACATGGGAATGACCAGCCTGGTGTTTTCCACTTCACTGTACCCGAGGAAGTGTGTGTGCGCGCGCACGAAAGCTCATTGCCTTGCATCACACTTTGCCTCTGCAGCTGCACATTCGCAAGGACACGGGGGAGGCTTCCAGGCTGTGGGTTTCCCCACGCTTCCCTTGCCCCCATTCCTCAACAAGCTGCCCCTCCCTCCATGCCACTGGGGGCCTTTTGGGTTTTTTTTTAAAAAAACCCAGCAACAGCTAAATTGTTATAGAACTGTAATGTTATCATGCTCTGTCTGTTGGGTCCTTGAATGCCCAGCTTCCGTTTTTTAACATTTATGTATTCCTGCCTTTGGGCGAGGTGGGCAAGGCTGACAGTGTGTGTGTGTGTGTGACTGGCCCCCACGATCACCCAGCAAGCTGGCTTCTTTAAAAAAGTAAGTCTCTCTATCCCCTTTTGTGGAGCTGCGGTGGCTCAAGTGGTTAAGACGCTGACCTGCAGGCTGTGGAAGGTCGGTAGTTCAGCAGTTCGAGACCCGAGTGCGCCACATGGCGGAGTGAGCTCCCGTCTCTAGTTCCAGCCCCTGCCAACCTAGCAGTTCGGAAGCAAGAAATTGCAAGTAGATAAATAGGTACCGCTTCGGTGGGAAGGTAACAGCGTTCCGTGCACCTTGGTGTTTAGTCATGCCGACCACATGACCACGGAAACGTCTTCAGACAGCGCTGGCTCTTCGGCTTGGAAACGGAGAAGAGCACCGCAACCCTAGAGTCGGATTCGACTGGCTTTCGAGCAAGGGAAACCTTTACCTTTTTATCCCCTTTTGTGGCAGAGGTAAAAGGGAAAGTTGTAGCTCAGCAGTGAAAAGAACTAGACGTTTCCATTACAGTTTGGTGTAGTGGTTAAGTGTGCGGACTCTAATCTGGGAGAACCGGGTTTGATTCCCCACTCCTCCTCCACTTGCACCTGCTGGTGTGACCTTCAGTCAGTCACAGCTCTCTCGGAGCTGTTCTCTCAGGAGCAGTTCTCGAAAGAGCTCTCTCAGCCCCACCGACCTCACAGGGTGTCTGTCATGGGAAGGGGAAGGAGTTTGTAAGCCACTCTGAGACTCCTTCAGGTAGTGAAGGTCTGGGTATGAATCCAAAGTCCTCTAGTTTGGTGTAGTGGTTAAGGGTGCGGACTCTAATCTGGTTGAACCGGGTGTGATTCCCCACTCCCCCACTTGCACCTGGCTGGATGACCTTGGGCAAGCCATAGTTCTCTCACAGCTGTTCTTGAAAAAGAGCAGTTTCTGTCAGAGCTCTCTCAGCCCCACCTACCTCACAGGGTGTCTGTTGTGGGGAGGGGGAGGGAAAGGAGGTTGTAAGCTGCTCTGAGACTCCGAGTGAAGGGTGGGGTGTAAATCCAATCTCTTCTCTTCTTCTCTAAAAAACCCCTCCACACTGGGAACTTAGGGGCCCAACAGACAAATAGTTATAAAGTCACCATGAAAGCCCCCCCGCCCCCGCTCATGTTTCTGGCCAGGCGGCAGCTGCGACGGGAGAGGCAGGCGGAGCGTGGAGACACAGCTCCTGGGAAGCCCGTCTGGGGTGGCGGCCACAGTGGCCATGTGCTTGCCACAGCCCTGGCTCACATTTATTTATATTTATTTATTTATTTATTTTGCGATTTTTATCCCGCCCTATCCAGTAGCTCAGGGCGGCTAACAACATTGGGGTGCAGGGAGGAGGTGTGGGTCTCCCCTGCCCTGCACGCCCCCCCCCGGCCCACGCCCCCCCCCCAGGCCTCACCTGCCTCCATGGCCAAGACGGTGATGTTGTGCCAGCCGGCCGTCTCTCGGTCCAGCAGCTTGCCCGTCACGATGGTGCCCCTCTCAGGGTCAATGTCGAAGATGTGCTCCAGGTCGGAGCTCTGGTCGATGGCGTACCTGGGCCCCAGAAGAACAAGACGGCTGTGAAGAGGCTGCCAGGGAGGGCGAGCAGTGGGGTGGGTGGGTCCTAGCACAGCAGCCCGGGACATGAGGTACCCCTCCCAGGGGCTGAGTCAGGGCTGTACCCACCATTAACCCCCCCCCCATGTAACGCAACCCCGAATGTGGTGAATTTCCACCATTGATAGGATGCAAACCAACCGCCCGTGTGAATCTTCTCCCCGGCCAGCAGAACGTAGGTTGCTTCCAAAATGTGCCTTGAAGATTCTTTTGGTGAATGTTAGGAGAGCGCCCAGAGATACAGGGGAAGTCTGGTGCTTGGGGGGGGGGGGCATAAAGAACACAGCAGCTGCTGTGGGGGCCCCAATTCCTCCCCCCGAAGCACTGGCCTGCTCAGCATGCGCACCCACCCACTCACCCGTCTCCAGCAGGCACAGCTGGGGCGAGGGAGAGACGGGCTCCGGAGCAGTCCGACAACAGACGGCAAGGCCTTTGGGGCACTGGGCTTGGCATGAGGTGCTGGATGCAGAGTTCACCCCAATGCCTGGGACGCATGGATGGCCCCCTCCACTGCCCTCCCTGGCCGGCCCTGCAACTTGTCGACGCTGGCTCAGGGCCAGCCGTGCTAATCAGAACATGCCACACTCAGGTCACACTGCAGATGGATGGCAGCCTCTGGCATCGGGGTCAGGGGAAGAGGCATCGTGCCAGGGATGCCTGCGAGGAGGTCCCCCTCCTCCCCAGTGGCCGAGAAGCCCACGTGTGCGTGCACAGAATGCCCAAGAGACTGCGTCCCCATCTGCAGCAATGGCAGTGCTGCCAAGAACATAAGAGAACGTAAGAGAAGCCACATTGGATCAGGCCAGTGGCCCCTCCACCCCAACCCTCTGTCACACAGTGGCCAGAAAGACCAGGGGCCATCAGGAGGTCCAGCAGTGGGGCCAGGACAGCAGAAGCCCCCTCCCACTCCTGCCCCCCCCAAGCACCAAGAAGACAGAGCCTCCCTTGCCCCAGACAGAGTGTTCCATCTAGACCTCGTGGCTAAGAGCCACTGATGGACCTCTGCTCCATGTAAGAACACAAGAGAAGCCAATGTTGGATCAGGCGAATGACCCATCCAGTCCAACCCTCTGTGTCACACAGCATGGAGACGAAGATGGGGCAGCCGGTGGGCGAGGGAGGAAGACAGGCAAGCACCGCATTTGCTGCCCCCTCCACCCTCCAATTTGGCTCTTGCTCACTTGGCAATTTGGGCTGGGGCGGAGCCAGCTGTGCCAGTGCTGGGCACCAGGGTTCCCTCTAAGCTGAGTTAGTGTGAGCCTGCTCACAGTTTTTTAGCCTTCAGCTCACACATTTTTGTCTTAGCTCAGGAGCAAACTAATTTATGCAGCAGCCAAATCGCTCGCTCACAGCTTTAATGCCAATGGCTCACAAAGCAGAATTTTTGCACACAAGACTCCATAGCTTAGAGGAAGCATTGCTGGGCACATGCTCCTTCCCCCTCCCTCCTCTTACTCACTCGCAGACCCAGGCTTCCTCTGCCTCCTGGGGAAGGGGGATCAGGAGATGATGGGGCAGGGCAAATTCGGGAGGGAGCGTTTTCCCAAGGCCCCCCCCGCCCCCCAGCTACAGGCCTGTGTAAACCTCTATCATGTCAACCCTTCAGTCATCGTTTCTCCAAGCTAAAGAGTCCTAACCGCTTTAACATTTCTTCATAGGGAAAGTGTTCCATCCCCTTCATCATTCTAGTGGCCTTTTTCTGTGTTATTTGACCATGTGCCGCCCCAGAGAACTACAGCAAGCTTCAAAGTAATGGTAACTCTGTAGAGAGATCGAACTCCCTAAGCTTAAGGAGCCTGTCCTATTTTAACATCTGATAGAGAGAGAGGGACAGAGGATTTGTGTTTTACCCATTTCTTTTGGAATCCCTTGCTCAGTCTGGTGCTGCGCTAAAAACACACTTGTGAACATTTTTCTTTTTAATAAATACTTTATCACTTAAGATGCTGGCAGTGGCTCTGGGTACCACATAGACCTCCACCATCTCAAACACGCTGTCTGAAGAGGGGAGCCAGGGGGAAGGCAGGCAGTTGGCAAGTGGCTGTTCCTCCAGGGGCTCACAAGGTGACCAGGCGCTGGGCAGTGGGAGACACAGAGGCCAGGCCTCAGAGCTCGGAAGGGAAGCTAGGAGCCCTGACCCTCCCAGTGGGCAATTCCTGCAAAGGTCAGGTGGCGGCGGCGGCCGGTTACTAGAGAGAGAGAGAAGCCTCTGAGAAAACCTTGGAAGGCAGGGTGGAAGAGGGCCTGCAGGCCCATTCCAGCACAGGTACTCCAACACAGCCTGTTGTAAGACAGACACAACTGATTGTCACTTACAGCTCACAACTTAAACCGCTCCCACGCAGCATCATTAATAGAAGAAGAAGAAGAAGAGTTTGGATTTATATCCCGCCCTTCACTACCCGAAGGAGTCTCAGAGAGCTTACAAACTCCTTTCCCTTCCCCTCCCCACAACAGACACCCTGGGAGGTAGGCAGGGCTAAGAGAACTCTGACAGAAACGGCTCTTTTTCAAGAACAGCTGTGAGAGAACTATGGCTTGCCCAAGGTCATCCAGCAGCTGCATATGGATGAGTGGGGAATCAAACCCGGTTCTCCCAGATTAGAGTCCGCGCACTTAACCACTACACCACGCTGGCTTTCATGGAGATGGAGATTCTCTTCTCTTTCACGGGCCTCGTGGGGCCCTCAATTCCGTGCTTATGGGGAGCCCTCCCAACTTAAAATAGCTTCTCTCACCAACAAAGACGGACCACCCAACAGAGACACAAACCCAGGGACACAAGCCCTGCAAACAGACCTAGATGCCAACTCTGTCCCCAGATATACTCTGGAAATACTGTTACAGGACCTAATGACGTCAGCAGCACCATCCTGGGCGCATGCACCTGCGCACCGTCCACTTTAATACATGCCCTCAATGCCCTTTTGCTGGACACGTGTTGGTCTCCGTGCAGGAGAATCAAGGCACACAAATCTGAAATCACAACAGTCAGAATACAGCCGGATAACATTTTTATCTCCCTGGACACACCATCACAGAGCTGGAAGTCGCTGTTCTACCAAAAAACTGAAACAAAACTTCAAAGGGAATATACAGTGTGAAAGTGCTGAATTAGAACTCATCGGGAAATCTAACACTACATGTCATCCTGGCTTATGCAGGATTTCCTCACTTATTATAATTTCTAATAACCCAACAAAATCCTCTTTTAGCCACTTTAACAGACTGTTCATAACACGCTGCATCATACAGCGACCCTTTCCTGATGTCAGTCAATTCTCTCACCCTTTAGACCGCTTCTTCTTTAATTAATTGTTCACCTGACTTTATGGCACTTTTATTTATCTTCTCAGCCAGTGAGATAAGCTCTGGCCTCTCCCCTCATCCATGATGGATAACAGCCGAAGCCCCTTCAAGCCCCCTTGACTTATGGCAGGAGGCTCGGGAAATGCTCCTTTACACAGAGAGTGATTAAAATGTGGGATTCACTGCCTGAGCGTGTCGTGATGGCCACAGGCACAGATGGTTATAAAAAGGGATTCCATAGATTCATGGAGGATAAGTCTACCAATGGCTACTAGCCAGGGTGACTGAGGGGAACCTCCACATTCAGAAGCAGTAAACCCCTGAATCCCAGGGCCAGGAGGCAACACCAGGGGAAGGCCTCGGCCTCTATGCCCAGCTGCTGGCCCTCCAGGGGAACTGGCTGGCCATTGGAACCAAGTCGGAGTCCAGTGGCCCTTTTAAGACCAGCAGGGCTCTTCTGATGTTCTTATGGCACCAGGGCCCCCCCTCGCTTCTCAGCCCCTCCCTAAAAGTGAGGAAAATCACTTTCTTTGTTTCTTTCTGCTGCCGCGGGTCAGGACACACACAAGCTCTGACTCACAGGAGTTCATGGGGGAATAAATGTTGTTTGGCTTTGTGGTGCTGCTGGACTTCTGTTTCACTCCCTAACACGTAGCCCAGCCCAACCAGACGGACCCCGACCTGCCAGAAGAGAAGCCCATCCGAGGCGGGGTGGTGGTGACGGCGGCTCTATGGCTCATCCACAGGGGTCATTTCCTGCGGGAGCACAGCTCCGGCAGTAAGGCGCGCAGGGGGCGGGCACATGCAACAAGCCCCGCCCCCTACTCCCAGCAGCCTTCAGTCGGGCCACGAGGAGCAAGAAGCAGCCAGGTAAGTTGCAGAGCCCCCCCACCCCCGCCTTCAGGTACAAGCTCTCCCTCCTCTGTGAGGGCAGATCTGCACATTCCCCCCCCCCCATAGCTAGCAATCCAAAAGAGTCCAGTGGCATCTTTAAGACCAAGTTCTATTCAGGCACAAGCTCTCCCTCCTGTCCCGGGGGGGGTTCCACAAGGCCCAGTCTTATCCCGCACCCTGTTTGACTGGGGTGTCAAACCCTCAGGGGAAATCACCCGCGGTTGTGGAGGAGGCTGACATCAGTAGGCAGAGGACACCCGGCTGCTCTCGCTCTCCGTTCCTCTGTCCAAATTGCCCGCTGATGCCATCGAGGAGGTCCTGAACTCAGGCCCTGCAGTGCCCTGGTTAAATAGCCGAGGGGGGAGGAGGAGCTGAAAGTGGATCCGGACAAGAGGGAGGCGACGCTCCTCCTCGGGAGCAGGGAGGTCTTGAAGGACGTTCCGCCTCCCATGACTCCCCTCCCCCCGCTGACTCCACCAAGAGCCCCCGGAGGGGGTTATTCTGGGTCAATCGGAGAAGCCGGTTAATGCAGCGGCAAAAGCCTCATCACACCCCCCCCCGCTTCACTCAGCCCGGATGATGACACCCCCCCCTCCCGGGACCGGACTGATCTGGCCACGTGGATCCAGGCAATGGTGACCCCGAGGCTAGACTACTGTAATGCACGCCACGTGGGTCTGCCCTGAGAGACAACTCAGAGGCTCCGCCGGCTCCGGAAGGCTGCTCTCCGGCATGAAGAAGAACCTGCGCACCACGGCCCCCTTCTGCAGACACGCCGCTGGCGGCCAATCAGCTGTCGGGTTCAGTGCAGGGATCCAGTTATCCCCCTCCCAAGCCACGTGGCTGCAGGACACACACACACACACACACACACACACACACACCCCGGCGCTGTGCTCCACCATGTCAGCTTGCCGAAGGGGCCGCCCCACAAATGCAGAAGACTGGCAACAGCCCGTTCACAGCGACCCCTCTTTGCTGGGTAGGCCCATAGCTACGGTGGGGGCGATTGGAGGCTCCGCCCCTTCCTTAAAGGGCCCGCCCCTTCCTTAAAGCCCCCCCCCCGCTTCTTCCCAAAAGCATTTAAAGGGACCCTTTAAATACTTTTGAGAAGAAGCGGGGGTGGGTGGGGGGTGGCACGCGCCCCTCTCCCTCCCCTCCTGCCAGATTCAAAGGGTCCCCCAGCAGATGAGGGGGGGCCACGTGCTCCCCGCTGATCAGCTGATGGGCCCTTTCAATCTTGCAGGAGGGAAGGGAGAGGGGCGCGTGCCAGCCCCCCTTCATTATGGCAAATAATGGCAGCCCCACCAGGAAACATTTTGCCCCACAAGCCACAAAATCCAGGCCAGGGGCTGTGAAGCGGCCGGCCTGAGGAGGTCGGGAAGGTCCCTCCACCCCACCCCCAGGGCTCCTTCCATTCCACCGAATGTGCAAAAGAGAGACCCGGGCCAGGGGGGCTCCTCTCGATCGATCGATGGAGGGCTTGGAAAGGCAGTACGAGGGAGGAGGATCGGAGGATCGTGGTCTGCAGCCACCCGTGTTGGTTGTACGCCTCCCCAGCCCCCCCCCCGCCCCCCTTGCTCCCCCCGGGCCAGGGGGGCTCCTCTCGATCGATCGATGGAGGGCTTGGAAAGGCAGTACGAGGGAGGAGGATCGGAGGATCGTGGTCTGCAGCCACCCGTGTTGGTTGTACCCCTCCCCAGCCCCCCCCCCGCTGCATTGTCTCCCGCCTTTGCCGGCCCCCTCCCTCCCTCCCTTCCTTCCTTCCGCATTATGGGGGATGTCATGCTTTAGTCAGTCCTTTTGTTCGTGTTTTGAGCCCTGCTGCATTGTTCTTGCTGTCGGATCAAATGGCTTTTCAAATTTTGTAATCCATCTTGAGACTCGGCAAGAAACGGGGCCCATAAATGAAGTAGACAAAACAAACAACAAAGTCACAGGCCAAGGGAGGGATCTCGTTCCTGCCACAGCACACAACACACACTCGCACGCACACACACACACGGGGCAATGTCAAGGTGCTCCTCTGGTTTCAGAGGTGAGGTGCCCCGACCCTGGTTTTGGTGGCAGGTCCCCGTGAGGCCACATCTGCCTGGAACCCCTGGGGGGGGGGCCCAGGCTGCCTTCTGTGAAGTAAGGGGTGGGGGTGGTACCAAGCTGGTGCCTCTCGACCCCAGGGTGCAGCTTGCTCCCCCAGACTCTACCCTGGCGTGCCCCAGAGCTGCATGCCTTGCTGTGACATGATCGAGGTTTACAAGATGATGCATGGGACAGAGCAGGTAGAGAAAGAAGTCATTTTCTCCCTTTCTCACTGCACAAGAACTCCTTGTGGGCACTCCATGAAACTGCAGAGCGGTCGGGTTAGAACGGATAAGAGGAAGTCCTTCTTCACCCAAAGAGTGATTGACACATGGAATTCACTGCCACAGGAAGTGGTGGCGGCTACAAGCATGGACGGCTTCAAAAGGGAACTGGATGAACATCTGGAGCAGAGGTCCATCAGTGGCTATTGGCCACAAGGTATAGATAGGGGCTCTGGGGCAAGTGATGCTCTGTCATCTTGGTGCTTGGGGGGGCAACAGTGGGAGGGGCTTCTGGAGTTCTGGCCCCACTGGTGGACCTCCTGGTGGCCCCTGGTGTTTCTGGCCACTGTGTGACACAGAGTGTGGGACTGGATGGGCCATTGGCCTGATCCAACATCTGGCTTCTCTTATGTTCTTATGTTTAACTAGAAATAAGGCCCGTTGTGGAAATAAATACAACGAGATCTAGAAAGAGGCTCTGGGAGAGTGCTCTGGCTTTGGGCAAACAGTGTCAGTCTGCTTTTAAAACATGAATCTGGGACCTGCACACCACCAGAATACAGCAGATTCCATATGCAACTGACATTCCAACGGCCTTGTGGGGGGGGGGGAGTTTGAGGTGTGGAATGGACTGAAGTCCAATCAGCTTCCATATGCAAAAGACCAGGTTGTCGCAGCAGTTGTGGTGTGGGCGGGACCCGGGCTTTGCCTTCTGATTGGTGGCGATATATGCTGAGGAGCAGTGCCATCAGCCATACACTAAGGGAGTGCATTTTAGAATTAGAACCTTGGCACCCACTATTCAATTATATATAAGGACAGATTCTCACCAGCTCCAGCTCCCAAGAAGGCCAGATCACGTGTTGGACATGCAAAGCTGCCTTATACTGACTCAGAGCACTGGTCTAGCAAGATCAGTATTGCCCACTCAGATTGGCAGCACTTCTCCAGGGTCCCAGGCAAAGGTCTTTCACATCACCTCCTACCTGATCCTTTCAACTGGAGATTCTGGGCACTGAACCAGAGAGCTTTGGCATGCCAAGCAGGTGATCGGTCTTTCTAGATCCCGTTGTATTTATTTCCACAACGGGCCTTATTTCTAGTTCAATTATATATAAGGAGATTTGCCCTCAAAAATGGGGGAAGCTCCGCAGTCAGGCTATGTGGGGCTCACTCTGGGCAATGATGGAAGGTGGGGGAAGCGTCTCTTCCAGGAGCTGAGCTGCAGCAATGGGGGTGGGGGGGGGGGGGGAGAAGGTTGACAGGGGCACTGTGGAAGGGAAGGCAAAGGAAAGGGAGGCCGTGGGCCAAGGGGCTGCCTGGAAGGCCGTGGAGACTTTGGTCACCTGTTCCCCAGTTTCTCTCTACAAACCTCCGGGACGCAAAACTTGTCCAAAGTCGCCCTTCTCGGGATCCTGTCCCGCTGCGAGGCAGGAGCTCAACAGGCGCCTGGCAGGCTCCTCCCTCCCTCCCTCCCTCCCTCCCCCTCACAGACCCAGGCAGGCCCTGCCCCTGCTTTTCGCTCCCATGCCGGCCGAGGACACCCCCGCCCCCCCCGCCCTCTCCTCCTCTCCCCAAGGCTCCCGCCAGCACCCCAGCCAGTCCAGGAGAGGCCGCTTTACCGGATGGGGCTGTCCGGGGCATCGGGGTCCAGGGCGGTGACCGTCCCCACCACGGAGCCGACCAGCGCGTCCTCCGGCACCTCCATCGGGCCGTGGGGGGGCTGGAACTCCGGCGGCTCGTCCACGTTCAGCACTGTCACCCGCACGATGGCCTGGTCCCGGAAAGTGCCCAGGTCTGCAAAGCGGGGGTCCGTGAACTTGTTCAGGGCCTCCACCACCACCGTGTGCACAGGCTGGGCTTCAAAGTCCAGGGGCTGGGAAGGGCAAAAAGGACGGGGGGGGGGGGAGACACTGCTGGAGGCCGGGCCCAGCAAAAAACCCCCCCCCCAGGAGGGAGCCAGCCGGCACAGCAGCAGCAGCAGGAGGAGGAGGCATGGACTTCCCAGGGCCGGCCCAAAGAGCCCCTCCACAGCAGCAGTGAGGTGGGGTGGGGTGGGGGGCTGCCACAAAAGGGCCTCTGAAAGTATGCACTGATTGCAAAGTCTGCCGGGGTGGTGGCCTTTGGGGCCAGGCCTGAAAGGCATAACTCCCTGGGGGACGTTAACCGGGGGGCGCCAGAGGTCACACCTCTTCTCCTCTCTCCAAATCTCTCCCCAAATGACCAGCGAGTCAGAGTTCAGTTCAGCTGCTGATACGTTCTGGATTTTGAAAAACGGAGACGGGGCTTCTGGGAGAGGCTGAGTGATGCTGGCAACGTGGAAGGGGACCCACCCCCCAAAGGCGCATTCTATACCAAAGCAGGCGGTCAGAGGGCTCAGAGGAACACTTCTGGGGTGGGGGAGAAAGGGGGCCGCGGTCTAGGCAAGGGTCCCAGCCTCCAGCCCCCCCCCCCCAGGCGGGCTCCTGCTGCCCAAGAGAAGCCGGGTTAGCCGTGTCCGGGCACCTACCGACCTGCTTGGCAGCGGCATTGCCATGACCAATGCTCCCTCTGAGCTGTGGAGTCTTGTGAGCAAAAATTCTACTTTGTGAACTACTGACATTAAAGTTGTGAGTGAGTGATACATTAGTGTGCTCTGGAGCCCTGTATAGAAATATTGATTTCTAAAAGCCTCCTGCCTTCTCATGTGATACCTTCTGATAACCCTGTACCTTGTTTCCTCTTACAAGCCAAATGCTGAGGCCAGATGGCCTCAATAGCATGCCATATAACCACACATTCTTTCACACTTCTAAGTGGAAGAGCTAGACTTCAAGGCGCCTGCTTTAAGGCTACATGGGCCATGTCAGGTACATCATGGAGAAGCTGGAGGTTTGGGGCCAAACTCCCAGCCTAACTCCTCACGTCGCTATGACAACTAAGTTTTGGACACACCTATGTCTACTTGCAATTGGCTCCTGGCCAGGGCTAATTTGTGACTAGATTGGGGTTTAATTGTCTGATCCCTTGGAGGAGAGCTCTCTCTCTGTTCCTGCTTGTGAGCTCTCTGATGGACACCTGAAATGCTGTCCTGCCATACTGTCTCTGGGAGAGACAAGGAACTCCTTTGTGAAGCTGAGCACATGGCTGGGGCACAAGGGGGATTTTCCCTCAGAATCCCTTGGTGTCTAACTGGACTGTATACCTGGACATTCTTGGGCTATGGATCATCCTGGTAATTATGCATATCTCTTACTGGGTAGTGAGGGCAAAAACTGCCCTAGTCTTTCTTGTTTTGAAATCCTTCTGGTCTATGCTAAGTTCTGTACTGAATAAACTTATTCTGGTTTCTAACTGGTCTTTGATGTTGTAACTGAGATTCCAAGCCTGTTTTCCTGTGCCTGGCTGGCTGCACGCTACCATTGAGCATTAAGGGTGCATCTCTGAGGAGGTGCTAGTGTATTCTGTCCCAGAGGCTGACCTAAGGCTTGGAATCCCTCCCTTGGGGGAAAGCCGGGACTAGTTAAAAAGGGATTCTTGCGGCTATTGTTCTGAATCCAGAGAGGGCAGCCTACCTTTCTGGGTTGTTGTTTAATGTATTGGAAAAGTGTGGGGTTCCCCCCTCATTCCTGGACAGGCTTGGGGGGCAGAAACCTATACAAGCCCTCCTCCCTGAGCTAAGACAAAAATCTGTGAGCCGGAGGCTAAAAAAACTGTGAGTTAGCTCACAATAACTCAGCTTAGAGGGAACACTGGCCATGACCCCCCCAACAGCTGCTGGGCGGGCCTCCTGTGGGCGCCACCTTCCTGCCAGGCCCACAGGTCCCCCAGGAGGAAAGGGGTGTGTGTGTGGAGGCCTGGGAAGGGGGCACGGAGTATTTTGCCCTGGGACCCTTGGCCCAGCCGAACCCTTCTGCAGGATCCCCGCCGCGGCTCCGAGGCCCCTCCCTCCCGGCCATAAGAGGGGCGGGGGACACCAGGGCAATGGTTCTGCAGAGCCCCCCCCCCCCGGTCTCTTTCCGCTCTCGCCCCCCCGAGAGGCCCCCAGCCCCTCTGCAGAGCCCCCGGCCCCTCCTCAGAGCTGGGCGGAGACGCTCACCTTCTGCAGGGAGAGGAGGGCTTCCTGGGAGTGGCCGTCGGTGGTCACCCGGAAGGCCCCCAGCCCCGCCTCGTCCTTGACCTGGTAGGTCATGTCCGTGTTCTCGCCCACGTCGGAGTCCTCCGCCTTCACCCGGCCCACCAGGGTGCCCACCGGGGCCGTCTCTGCAATGCTGAACTGGTACATCTCTGGCCGGGGAGGGGAGGGGAGGGGAGAGCAGCCATGAAGAGCCGGCATGAAACCTGCACCCTGCCAGAAGTGGGGGTCCCTCGGGGGGGGCTCCTGCCCAGCAGAGTCCTTACACCCTGGAGAAGGTGGGCGAGGGACTAACCACCCTGAGGGGTGGGGTCTGAGCCCCCCCTCTGTGCACAGCCTTCCCCCGAGGTCCATCCCCTTTTGCTTCCCCCGGCCTCTCCCCTTGGCCCCAGCCCCCCCAGCCATGGAGCCCCGCTTGCCCGGGGCCGGCCTTCCCCTGGGCCCTTTGCAAGAGGCACCCCCGCGGGCAGCTCCAGCCCCCCCCCCCGGAGGCCCAGACTCACTCTGCGGGAAGCGGGGAGGGTTGTCGTTCACGTCTGTGATGACGATGGTCACGGTGGTGGAGCCGGACAGGCCCCCCAGTTGCCCCGCCATGTCTGTGGCCCGGATGACCACCTCGTACCGGTCCTGGGTCTCGCGGTCCAGGTTGGCCACGGCAGTCTGGATCACACCTGCAAGAGGCCACGGGAGGGTGCGTCACCGTCTGAACGGCGGGTGGGGAGGGGGGAGCATCTTCCAGCAGACCCTCCTCCCCACCAGCACAAGGGTTCTTTCCACCACAGCCCCACCAAGCTGCCTTTGCTCCGCCTCCCCCTCACTCACTCGCACCCCCACGGCCAGGCCGGGCGCCACAGACTGCGCAACCACCCCCTCCCCCAAGCCTGACCAGCCCACACCATTCCCAGCCCAAAGGGCAGGTGGAAGATGAAGAGACTGGATTTATACCCCACACTTCCCTCGGAGTCTCAGAGCAGCTTACAGTCTCCTTTCTCTTCCCCTTCCCACAACAGACACCCAGTGAGGTAGGTGGGGCTGAGAGAGCTCTAATAGAAACTGCTCTGAGAGTACTTGTAACTGACCCAAGGTCACCCCAGCAGCTGCATGTGGAGGAGGAGTGGGGAATCAAACCCGGTTCTCCCAGATTAGAGTCCGCACTCCTCACCACACTACATCAAACTGGAGCCTTGCCCACCACTCCAGGCGACTCCTGCAAGAGAAGAGCTGCTGAAACACAGAAGCCAGCCCAAGGCCAGTCCAAAAACCAGTTTGGTGGAGTGGTTAAGTGTGCGGACTCTAATCTGGGAGAATCAGGTTTGATTCCCTGCTCCTCCACTTGCAGCTGCTGGATGACCTTGGGCAAGCCATGGTTCTGTCAGAGTTGTCCTTGAAAGAGCAGTTTCTGTCAGAGCTCTCTCAGCCCCACCCACCTCACAGGGTGCATGTTGTTGGGTGGGGAAGGGAAAGGAGTTTGTGAGCCGCTCTGAGACTCCGAGTGAAGGACGGGACATGAATCCGATCCAAGGTATTTAGGGTATGAATTCAAGGTATATAGGGCTATCTTTAGACTATGCTCCTGCAGAGTACAGGGGGTTGGACTAGATGACCTGCAAGGTCCCTTCCAGCTCTAACATTCTATGATTCCTCCTCCTCCTCCTTTTCTTCTTCTTCTTCTTCAAACCAGGCCAGCGTCTGGCAGCAGAGGCCAGCCGGACGCTGCAGAACCAGGTGCCAAAGGGCAGTGGTGAGTCTGCCGTAAAAGAGCCGTTCTTTGGGCTTGGAAAAGAACCTGGCTTGGCCCAGTGCTGATTGGCCAGCCCCCATGTCCGTCATGAAGCTGCCCCCTCCCCTCCTCAAAGCAGGGCTGAGTCCAGCCAGCCCCCTTGTGCCTGTGACACACACACACACACACACCCGTCACGTGCGGGATTTCAAAGTGGCAAAACCAGAGTGGGAAAGTCTTCCGGAAGAAAGCGCAGGCCCCCATGCCAACAGATCGCCAGGCCGACACAGCCGAGGAGGGCCGCTTCCCTGGAGCCCGGGGGAGGAGGGGCAGGCTGCCCCTGGGCAGAGGAAAGCAGAGGGCGCCCACGGCACCCCCCAGCGCTTCCTGGCCAGTGGCGGCTTCTTGCCATCACCCTCCCTAACCTTCAGTCAGTCGGGGCTGGACGAAAGGCCTCCGTCTGGCACTCCGCCTTCCCCGGGGAGACTGGCTGAAAGCGGGTGGGTGGTGGCCCCACGGGAGGGGCGGGAGGGGTCTGCGTGGGGCCCCCCAGGAGCCACAGGCTGTCAGGCCAGTGGGACAAGGGACACGTCAGGCTGGCCGGGGAAAACCCTGGGAGCAGAGGCAGCCAGCGGAGGGAGAGGGAGAAGGAGGAGAGTGGCTCTCTACCCCGTGGCCCTTCACTACCGGAAGGAGTCCCAGAGCGGCTTCCTTTCCTCTCCCCAAGACAGGCACCCTGCGAGGTAGGCGGGGCTGAGAGAGTAGCTCTGAGAGAACTTGTGACTGGCCCAAGGTCACACCAGCAGGTGCACATGGAGGAGGCGTGGGGGATCAGAGTCCGCACTCCTCACCACGACACCACACTGGTGCCCTCCCTCGCCCGCTCCCTTTCGGCCGGCTGCAAGATCTGAGGAGTCTTCCGGGCTGTTTGTTTTCACCGGCCAGGAGAAGCAGAGGCGGCGGCTTTTTAGCAGATCAGATCCTTCTGATGAACTCCGTCTTGGGCTCTATAAATAGCACCCCTGCCCCTGGGGAAACGGGAGAGTTTGGGGGGGGAGGCACACAGCAGGGGGGGGAATGAGCGGAGACGGGCAGGCAGAGTGCGGGCAGGGCAGCTGCCAGGAGGCCGGGGGTGGGCCCCTCTCCTGCTGAGATGCTCCGGTATGGCCCCCTAACCAGACCCTCTGCCCCCTCCCCGTCATGTTTCTCCCCCCCCCGCGCTTTGCCAGGCCCCCTTACGCCCTCCTCATCGGCTGCCTTCTCCGAGGCACAAGGGCCTCCTTTGGCCACGGGTTCCTCTCCCCCGGCCTCTCTGGCTTTGCTCGCTCCTCCTCAGGCCTCCCATGTCCCAATCCCCTCTGCTCTGACAGCAGGGGGCATTCGAGGCATTAAGCTCCACCCTTCGCCCTCTTCCAGGCCAGACCCCCCCCCCCCAAATACAAGTCCCTGGAAGGCAGAGGAGGCCCTCGTGTGTTAGTCACAGCCTTAACCTCCTGCCTTTCTGCCCCATCAGCACCCCCAAGATGGCTGGCCATTAAAACAGCACCATAAAAATAAATCATGAAACGAAGTAAAAGCCAGAACTAAAAATACCCAAATCTATAGTATTTTAAAACCAGCAAATTAAAGCATAAGGCAGGAACGAGGGATGGCGGGAAGACCAGACAAAAAAGACGTCTTCACTTGCTGGTGGGAGACACTGACGGACAGGAACAGGAGGGAGATTTCTGAGGAGGGAGTCCGACAGTTTTGGCACCGTGGCCAGGGAAACCCCCTCGCAGGTGGCCACCCGTCCAGCCTTTAACCAGGGGGGCATCTGGGGCAAGACCGGAGGACGTGACCGCTGGGCTGGGTTCGGGTGGCTGCCTGTGGGAACTCCTCTGGTCCCAAGCCAAGACTGGGCTGACCTGGTCCCTACAATCCACTCCAATCAACATCCTTCCTGGCTGCAGCATTCTGCACTAAGTCTGGTGCCGTGGTTAAGAGTGCAGAGGACTCTAATCTGGGAGAGCTGGGTTTGATTCCCCACTCCTCCACTTGCTCCTGCTGATGTGACCTTGGGCAAGCCGTAGTTCTGATAAGAGCTGTTCTTGAAAAAAGAGCAGTTTCAGAGCTCTCTCAGCCCCACCTGCCTCACAGGGTGTCTGTCTGTTGTGGGGAGGGGAAGGGAAAGGAGATTGTAAACTGCTCTGAGATTCCCTTGGGTAGTGAAGGGCAGGGTAGAAATCCAATCTCTTCTCCTCTTCTTCTTGGGTAGAGCTGGTTTGGTGTAGTGGTTAAGTGTGCGGACTCTAATCTGGGAGAACCGGATTTGATTCCCCACTCCTCCGCTTGGATGACCTTGGGCAAGCCGTAGTTCTGATAAGAGCTGTCCTTGAAAAAGAGCCGTTTCTGTCAAGAGCTTTCTCAGCCCCACCTACCTCCCAGGGTGTCTGTTGTGGGGAGGGGAAGGGAAAGGGGTTTGTAAGCCGCTCTGAGACACCTTTGGGTAGTGAAGGGCGGGGTAGAAATCCAATCTCTTCTTCTTCATCTTCTTCTTCTAAGTGTAGCTTCTGGACAGTCTTCAAGGGCAGACCCATGTAGAATGCATTATCATAGAATCGCAGACTTGGAAGGGGCCCTACAGGCCACCTAGTCCAGCCCCCAGCTCAGTGCAGGATCAGCCTCGAGCATCCCTGGCGAGTGTGTGTCCAGCCGCAACTAGAAGACTGCCAGGGAGGGGAGCTCACCACCTCCCTAGGCAGCCGATTCCACGGCTGAACTATTCTGATTGTAAATTTCTCCCCCTGATATCCAGCCAGTACCTTTCTGCCTGTAACTTAAACCCATTATTGCGAGTCCTCTCCTCTGCTGCCAACAGGAACAGCTCCCTGCCCTCCTCTGACAGCCCTTCCAAAACAAAGTCTGAGTCCAGCGGGGCACCTTTAAGACCAACAGAGTTTTATTCAAGGTGTGAGCTTTCGCGTGCAAGGCACACTTCCTCAGATACACAGAAATGGAAGTTCCAGCAGGCAGAGGGTAAACAGCAAATTAGCATACAACAGAATGGAGATGTTTTAACAGATGCAAAGACCAAACCGGAATAGCAAGCTACCTGTATATGTTCACCATTTGCTTGGATTTAATTACGGGCAAAACACAGTGAAGTGAATAAATCTATATATCTAATAGCCAAGTTGTCCCCTCTGTGCTGATATCTAAATCCGCACACCTGGGGCACCTAGGAGGCAAAGACAATTTCCTGCACACTTGGGGCACTCTCCAGGTGTGCAGAAAAAATCTGAAATGTTGAAAAAACTGTATGGGGGATACTGAAATCCCCCCCCAAAACTAAAAGAGCGTTCCCTGCGCATGTGCAGAGAACGCACTTACCACTAGGAACTGTGGCAGAGCCATGCAGGGCTCGCCACCATTGCTGCTGTCGGCTGGGAGCCACGGCAGTTGCTGCTGTGGGGGGGGAGAAGCCTGGCGCGTCTGGCAGCTAGGAGCCATGCAGGACTTGCTGCCACTGCTACTATCGGCGGCGGCGGCGGGGAGAGCCTTGGAGGGCTGGGGGCCGTGGCAGTCGCTACTGTTGGGGGGGGAGCCTTGGCAGGCCCTGCGAACTGCCTGCTGGGCTCACCTGTGGCCAGCGCTGCCTCCTCCTCCATGCAGAACTCCTGCTGCAGGCTGGCCACCATGGAGCCACGGGGAATACTCCCCCCTGCATCACGGGTCCCGCTTCTTGTGTGTCAAAATGGGAGACGAATGTGTAAATGTATCCTTCTTAATTGCAGAATGCTAAGAGTAATTCTGGCTCAAGCGGTTAAGACGCTGAACTGCAGGCTGTGGAAGGTCAGTAGTTCAGCAGTTCAAGACCCGGGTGCCACATGACGGAGTGAGCTCCCATCTCTAGTTCCAGCTCCTGCCAACCTAGCAGTTCGAAAGCAAGAAATTGCAAGTAGATAAAGA